CCTCCCCTCGACACTGTCCAGCCTCCCCGCCAGTTCTCCGCGAAACTGGTCAGCAGCGGCCCCCGCCCAAGCAAGGTTCGGAGAGGCGGCAGAGGCGGGTGAGGCCGGCGGGGCGGGGAGAAGCAACCATTTTTACCAGCCCATAAATATCCTGGGACTAGGAGGTGCTAAGAATTCCCGGTGCGGACGGGCTGGGGCCTCCAGCTCCCCGCCTTCCCTTGGCGAGCGGCGAAAACCCAGCCGCTGCATTTTCCCAGGAAGGAGGGGCCGGAGGCTACATCGCCCCTCCCCCGCAGCTCACTAAGGGGCTGCCCGCACGGGGAGAACCCGCGGGCCGCCCCGAGTCCGACGGCCTGGAGCCGCAGAAGGCCCCGATCCTCTTCGCACGCACTCCAGCCCCTCCTGCCCAGCGCTGTTCGAAACCCCAAATTCGGCCTCCGGGGCCACAGCGGGTAGAGGAGTGAGGCTCTACACGTCTCCGCGCGAGAAACACACCCTCCTGGGGGGGGTGGGAAGCCCGTCCCCGCCCCTCCCAAACCGCCACGGAGACCCACCTTCCTCCTCTTCCTTTAGCAGCTGGGAAGTTAGGGGCGTTTATGGCGCCCCGGGAAGAACGCTTGCAGGCTGAGAGAATGTCACCTCAGAGGCACCCTTCTCTCTCCCCCTCTCCCCTCACGCATGCACACCTTGAGTCCCTCGCTAGCGGTTGAAGCCCAGCTGTGGACCCCCTCCGCCCACCCAGCTGCTGGCTCCTTACACCTTAAACCCCCCACTTTCTCCTAAATAGTTCCCCTCCCCCTCCATTTGGGGCAGCCCCCTTGATGCGGAAATGTTCCTGCCGGGCAGACGGACAGGAGCAGCCGCCAGTCAGGAGCCGAGGCGGTGCAGGGCCTAGCCAATGAGACGCGCAGAGGTGGCAGGGGGGCGGGGCATCTGCGGCCCTAGGAAGTCCAGCAAGGCTAGGCGGGGAGCCAGACTAGGGAATTCCGCGCATGGGATCGGCACCTGAGGTGGCGTGGCAGGGATATTTCACCAGTAAAATAACCAGTTTTCTACAGCTACTTCAGCAAGAGAGTAATTATTTTGCAGTCCATAAAAATGTTCCCGCTTACTAAGGTTGAAGATACCTATCCGGCGGATAGAGCCAGAGCATCCCCCACAGCAACTACCCTGAGAAAGCCCAGGCCTTTCTCACAAACTCTCCTCACAATATCTGGCCTGGGAAGGGTGAAGATGCCTTAAGGAGTAAGCACTGGGGTGTGTGGGGCCCACTAACAGGAGGAGGGATTTAGAGCGTGGAAGAAAGCGCCAAACCAAGGCTCTCCCACCGGAACCACCGCCTCCGGTTCCTCTTCCTGTAGAGATTTCTGCTGTGATGGGCGTTTACGTTTATGACCAAAGTGGACATGGCTTAAGTTACTCCTCAGGAGATGCTTACCTTTTAACAGATTCTTGAAATCCTAAAGGAAAGAGGATGTTAAGAGGTAGGACGTTGGCAGTGGCCAGGGGCTGAAAGAGGGCCCCCCCCAGCGTCCTCCACCCCGCCTTGCTGATAAGACTCAGTGCACCAGTCGGTGGGTGTATCTTAGATTTTACCACTCAACCAGCCTACATCAGGACAGATGAATTGTCAGCACTCTCTTAGATGCCTTCAGTAAACCAAGTAACTCTACAAGAGTTTGGACAACATTAATCAACCAAGGTAAAGTGAGAATTTTTAATTGACTTATTCTCTAAACAAACTTTATTTTAGTGCCACATATTTACATGGAAATGTCATTAGATAACACAAGAAAGGCCAGTGATTCATTTGTCATACTAGAGAATGACAACCCTTGTTACTATGTTTCTTATGTGAAATCCAAAAAGATTACACTCAAAAATTTATCAGCTACAAAATAAGTTCCCCAAATAAAACCAGAGATATCTAAAATCCAGATGCTTACATTTTAATAATGGCATTTGGAGACTGAAGATCTTAACCAGAATGCCCACATCTCTTGTGTATGGTAGAGAAATTGTTCCAGCTCTGAATAAGCAGTATTTAACAACAAAATAAAATACCAAATTTGGGCTCCATAGGTGTGCTTAGCCTCCGCTAGATAAAGTTAAACAACAATGAAGAGCCCTTAATTATACAAGGTTTATTGTAAGAAGGAAGATCAGTTATTTTCTATCTTTGCAGAAGATTAAGGGAGAGGAAGTGAGTTATAATTGCAGCAAGAGCATTTGGTAATACCTAAGAATGACATCTTGATTTATTAGTAATCGTCTATTGAGATATGGCACCAAAGGATGTTGTACATGTGCTGCCTCAAGAAATCTCCAAAAAAAAAAAGAGTACGTGTCATCAATGGTTAAGTCTATAACCACCCAGATGCTGGCTCTTAAGAGAACACTACAAGCTATATTCCCAAATATTATTTCTAAATAGTACCCAGTAAATGGAATTTCCTTGTACAGTGGCTTAGATTTAATCCTGAACCCAGAAAGATTTTGTAAAAGAGCCTCCTACTCCCTCAGAGCCACTAGAAACACCTTCACTTGACAGATCATGTGGGGTTAGGGAAGAAAGATCATGGCCATGGAGCAGTTTCAACCCTATTTATATGTACATATACATTTAATACCTGAAAAATTGTGCCATCTCTCTTTCTCTCGCTCTCTGTGTGTGTGTGTAATCCTTTTTTTCATAATACACTACTATGGAATTACCCCTCGAGTATGATGCTGATATCTGTATCATTAGAAATCTATAACATGGATAAATAGATTTACAGATTAAACCTTGAGAGAAACTTGGGGAAATCTAAAGGAGGGTGGAGATGGGGGTTGGGAAGGGGTGTGTGTGCAAGGAAGAATTGGAATGGATTATAAACTAAAAAGAAGCCTGGAAGCCAATTTTTCACTGGTACCATATGCTACCATCTGAGGATGATATAAATTCTGCCTATAATTTTCTCATTCCTTCTTTCTACTTCTCCATAGAAACTTGAGAAAATTCAGTTTCATTTAACCAATCCCGTGTCCTGGCATGTATAACAACCTTGCCATATAATTTTCTTTTTCTTTACGTTGGAACATTCTACCAACAAGGAGACAATGACTGTTGCCCTATTTCTAAGCATCCTTTTTTGTGCCTTTTTAGATTTAGTGTTTGGCACAGTGTCTGGTACATAGCAAACAGTAAGTGTACACTGAATGACCAGTTTATTGCCACTAAATCTTTTTAACTCACAGTGTTGTATCCTTTCTCTACTCTTTGAGAGCTGTAAACAAGATTTTAAAAATTTATATTTAGAGGTATTTGTTTCAGTTACTTCCACCTGGAATATGAACTTGGGCCAAAGTATAAGAGTAGTAGCAGCAAATGCAACATTATGATGACTTTACAGTAAGCTTTTCTAACTACCCACCATAGTCATTATCCAATAAGAGGTGGTTTAGAAATTGCTAAAGTATGAAATAAGTGTACAGATCAGTAATGTGTGTGGGTTTGGGGTTTGTTTGTTTTTCTTGTCTATCCTACCCCCATTCCCTACACACAAGAAAATAAAGCAGTGCAGTTTTGAAAAACATGTCAGAGACAAAAAATGTCAGTGTCATGCCCAAAGTGTTTAGTCAAGAGACCAGGTAACATTACACACTGGACTGTGGCCCACACTCAGTACACTCAACATTGGCTCCCACCTGTATCCATCTTAATTCATAGGCCACCTATATGAAGAGGAAAGAGGGGACTACTATTAGAAGTTGCCAGTTACTGACTAGATCTAACAATATGGTATTCACTTGAGTCAAAAGGTAACCAAACAGGGTTAACTGGAAAAAGATATCAAAAAATATCTGAGATGGACTACTAATGAATGAGTAGTCTAAAAAATAAACAATGTTTCCAAATACTTGAGGAAGAGAAAGACTTCATTCTTTCCTGTTGCCAGCACCCCATTTTTAATGAATCAGGAAGTTTGCTGAAACAAGTTATGAATGTAAATTGTGACATATCCTTCCATTTGTTCATAGTATGAAATTACATTGGAAGGTTATATAACTTCTGTATCACAACAGTAGCAATTATTTCAAATAACTAAGCTGCTTTAGAAACAGGGTTTCTCACATTACAGATAATTATCTAAAGAGTTGAAAAACCAATCTCCTAGGTAGGTTTAAAATTCATCAGGCTTTCAAGAATGCAGTTTAACTACAATATGCATTATCTTGTTCACATTTATCAATAATTCTTCTCTAGGTTCTCCTCTGAAAGTTGCTTAGAAGACAGGTTCTTACTATGTTATCTCCTGTTTCTCCTGTTCTGCATGTTGCCCAGGGGAAAGTGTTGATAAGGATTGGTGATGCTCATGAAGTTGTATCTCACTCATGTGCCAAACTGCATCTCCAGACCCCCCCTTGGTTGTAGAGATAGAGGAGCTATTTCCTTTGATGAGTAGACCCAGGAATAACTATAAAAAACAACAACACCGTATATTCTCTCAGGGTTTTTAATAAGCATAGGTCATTATGTAATAATTTGGAAATAAAAAGAAAAAACACTAAGAAATAACACATCTCTTACTAAAGTCCTAAGATAGAATAAATATTGTTCTGTTCTGTATAGATGATGAGGTTACTGATTCTTAGTGACTTTGAAATCCTCATGGAGAAGAGATATGAAATAGGAAAGCATTCAGTTTAATTCTACTTTTTCCTCTTTCAAGCATATTAAAGATGCCCTGTTGTGCATTCCATCCAATGTCTTTTGATGGTTTTCCAAACATCTCTGCCTCTGGTCTAGCTTACTAAATTTTCTGCCAGTGCCACCACTGGGAAGCAAAGGAAAAAGAACTTCTGTTTCCTAACTTAGTCTCAAGGAATTTATTTTAAGCATTTCACACCCACCACTCTAACTAAATATTTAAGAGAAGATCCTGAGGATTATTCTTTGAAGGAGGCCTAAATAATGGGTAATTAAATATCATTAAATGTGTAATATAATCAGGGAATAAAAAGTAACAGTAGTCTTTCCTTTCTAGAATGAAAAGGAGAATGTCATATTTAGAGAAAACACCACAGCAAAAAATGTGGTATAATAATGTTAAGTTCTGGTACCATTTTTAACTGACTTTTCAAAAATTTTCAGTAGGGCTTTTCACTTGAGTCAAAAGGTAACCAAACAGGGTTAACTGGAAAAAGATGTGAAATAATACCTGTGAGATGGACTACTGATGATTGGTCTAAAAAAAAAAAAAAAAGGAGTTCTTTTTAAAAATATCTTTAGTAGTTTTTTGTTTTTTTTTTTTTATGTTTCTGTTGATTTTTTTAAGAGAGAGAAGGGAGAGAGAAAGAGAAACATCAATGTGAGAAACACTGATCGGCTGCCTCCTGTACTCACCCCAACTGCGGATTGAACTCACAACCTGGGCATGTGCCCCAACCTAGAATCAAACCCAGCGACCTTGTGGTGCATAGGACAATGCTCAACCAACTGAGTCAAACCAGCTAGGGGTCTTTAGTAATTTTTTTTTTTAAAGGTAATCTAAAAAAAGTAGTTATTTAAAAGAAAACCTATGGGAATAAATGACATAGAGACTAAAAACAAACAATACAAAAGATCAATGAAACCAAGAGCTGGTTCTTTGGAAAGATAAACAAGACTGATGAACCTTTAGCCAGACTCATCAAGAAACAAAGAGAGAGGACCCAAATAAACAAAATCAAAAACGAAAGAGGTGAAGTAACAACTGACCCAACAGAAATACAAAGGATTATAAGAAAATACTATGAACAGCAACTATACACTACCAAGCTGGACAACCTGGACGAAATGGACAAATTCCTAGAAAAATACAACGTTCCAAAACTCAATCAGGAAGAGTCAGAAAACCTGAATAGGCCAATAACTACTGATGAAGTTGAAGCAGTAATCAAAAAACTCCCAGCACACAAAAGCCCTGGTCCAGATGGCTTCACAGGGAAGTTTTACCAAACATTTAAAGAAGAATTAACACCTATCCTCCTCAAACTATTTCAAAAAATCTAAGAGGAAGGAACACTTCCAAACTCTTTTTACAAGGCCAGCATTAGCCTAATTCCAAAACCAGGTAAAGACACTGCAAAGAAAGAAAATTACAGGCCAATAATCCTGATGAACATAGATGCTACAATCCTCAACAAAATATTAGCAAATCAGATCCAGCAATATATTAAGAAGATCATACACCATGACCAAGTGGGATTTATTCCAGGGATGCAAGGCTGGTACAATATTCACAAATCAATAAGCGTGATACATCACATAAACAAATTGAAAGACAAAAATCACATGATCATATCAATAGATGCAGAAAAAGCATTCAACAAAATCCAACACCCATTTTTGATAAAAACTCTCAGCAAAGTGGGAATGGAGGGACCATATACCTCAACATAATAAAGGCCACATATGACAAACCTACAGCGAACATCATACTCAACGGGCAGAAACTAAAACCATTTCCCTTAAGAACAGGAACAAGACAGGGGTGTCCACTTTCACCACTCTTATTCAACATAGTACTGGAAGTCCTAGCCACAGCAATCAGATAAGAATAAAACATAAAAGGCATCGAAATTGGAAAGGAGGAAGTAAAACTCATTATTTGCAGATGACATGATATTGTACATAGAAAATCCTAAAGACTCCACCAAAAAACTATTAGATTTAAT